TTTCACCGGGAATCACACCTTCCAGGTGAGACCACCTCATCACCTGCGTTTAAAAACCATGCTCCCTCATGAGGTGACCTAGCGCTCATGCAACGGGCACTCCGGCGCACCAGAATCAAGATTTTAATCAAAATGACGCCCCACACATGTTAATCGAAACCTGTACACTTTATTTTCTAGAAATACACGCAGGAAGAGGGTGACACTTTAATGCTTCAGTATGAAAGGGTTGTTCTCAACAGCGGAGCGTAGAGAACGCAAACGTCTCCTGCCTTTTCTCAACTAAACATTAACTACATCCACGAACAAGCAGGTACAGAGATGCGCAATATTCATGTTAACATGGCAGCTGCTCAGAAGCTCGACTCCACATCTCGTGTCAATATTGCCGCTATACAGATACGTTTAACATTTCGATAATGACAATAACGACTTTGCCAAAACTTCGAATCCGTTCACTCTGACCTAAACGCTGTGTCCACGATATGCAAGTATTTTATGCAGTACTTGGATATAGGCGACAGGAGCTGAGAAATTACCTTGTTTTGAAGTTCTAAAGAAAACGAACCGGGGTTGCCAACGTCAAAATCCAGCAAGACAACGACCACAACACCAACTCCGGCACGACGGCAGAACAACAAAAAAAAAATCACTCCAGGACCTTATTCTCAGTTTAAAACTTCTGGATGAAAATTCACAGTTCAAATCTAAACAGCAGCCAGCGTTAAACTTCTAGGCTACCTCTCAAACTCCGCACCGCTCGCGAAGACGGGGAGCTCAGAAGAGCATGTAACAGATTTAAATTTAATCCACCACGCACGGACAGAAACGCTCATCCCAGCCTGACAGAGACTTACCGCTCCAACGTCTGTCACGGCCGAGTTACCGCTCGCTCGCTCGTCTCCTGGGGCTCGGACCCGCAGTCGGTGCCGGGGGCTCAGAAGGCGAGTGCGCGGCGTGCGTGGTCCCGGCTGAGCTGCGACCCGAGCGGGCGCATTGCGACACGGCTCCGGCGGTGCGCGCGCGGGGGGTCAGGCAGGTCCCAGGGCGCCCGGGGCTGGCTCGTGCGGCTCGCTCGCCGGAAGCGGCGCCTTTCACTGGCCGCCGGCGGGGGACCGTGCCCGCGTGCACGGGGCCCTGCGCGCCCCCGCCGCCCCTCGGCCCCGCTGCTCGCGCCCGCGCCTCGTTTCGCACCGGGGGTGTCTGGAGAACCCCCCTCCCCTCTTCAAACAGTCAAATTCTTATTTCGCGGCTCGTCTTGTACTTCAAAGATTTGCCTTTTCCCTCTTTTTATGTAAAATCGCAGCTACAGTCACGCTGACCCGGTAATGTCATATATAACGACAGATGGTGGTGGTGGAGGGGAGTCCCCATTACTTGTAAAGCGCTTTGAGTGGAGTGTCCAGAAAAGCGCTATATAAGTGTAAGCAATTATTAATTATCATTATAGATGAAGACCTGCGGAAGACTGTACTGTATCGTCTGAAGGGGGTCAGGGGTCAGGGGATAACTGGGGAGAGAAAGGGGGTCGGAGGTTGGGGAGAGGTAGAGGGGTCAGGGGGTAACTGGGGAGAGATAGAGGGGTCAGGGGGTAATTGGGGAGAGGAAGGGGTCGGGGTTCAGGGGGTGACTGGGGAGAGATGGGGTGAGGAAGGGTGTCAGGGGTCAGGGGGTGACAGTGGAGGGGATACTCTCTCACCTGCCTCACCTCGCCGGTCCCGCTCTCGGTGAGTCGCCGACTATGGGGCCGCTCCTGTCGGGGGTCCCCAGGCTGTCGGGAGGGGTTCCCGTGTCGCCTTGGGCGCCCAGCCCGGTCCGAATGAGTTGAGGTTTGCTCCTCCAAGGACAGCTGGATTGCGCTTTTATGATGCAGTTTACCGTTGCCATTGTAAAATAAATCTCTTGAGCCTTAAAGGCTAAACGTGTTAAAGGTGAATAGTCACCGATGGAGCCCCGAACACGACCGGCTGTACACTGTCGCCCCCTGCTGGCCCGAAAGACACTCACACCAGCAGCCTCTGCCCGAAAATAGAATAATAATAATAATAATAATAATAATAATAAAATAATAATAATAATCGTTTTTAAAGAAGTTAAATTACAATACACTGATTTGCTCAGGTGCTCTGTATAGTTAGGCGGTATGTAAGAATACA